GATGACAATTCTAAAACAAATTTTTAAGAGGTTAATTTTTTTTCTTATCTCAACACACACACAGACAGTGAAAATGAAAGCGAACATCGCAGTAATGAGCACTACTTAGGTCTTTTTTTCAGAAGTATTTATTACTGCGATGTTCTCTTTCATTTTCACTTCTTTAACCACAGTTCACATATATGATTTTCATATATTTACAGTCACACACAAACACACACACCCAAAAAAACATCAAAAAAAAAAACCAAAAACACCAACAACACAAGAGAAAAGAGGAAAAACAAAGAGAAAGAAGTTTTAGTTATTTCCCTTTGCAGATTCTTAGGTTTTTGGAGCTATCTACTCAGATATGACCGATTAGAGTTACTAAGCATGCGTTATTTTGATTCAGTCGATTCATTTTGTAGAAGGTTGATAGCTTGTACAGGTTAACCTTATAGGTATAGGGTTTAGCAAGAGTAACCAATCCGTAATCAAGGGGGTGATATGATTTACCTGAATGAAGCTCGTACAGGATGAACGGCTCGGTGCAACTGCAAGAATAACTACAAAATAATAAATAATACCCCAAGGACACTAAGAATCTACTTCTCAGTTCGTGTGGCCTGCTACAAAGAAAGACTGTTGAGTCCCGTGGGGGCACTTTTCCTATCTGTCAAAAATCGAATAAAAGATATATTATTCAAGTGTTATTACGTTTTCTTATATTTTGGCGTCTGGGTTTCAAAATATATCGCACGGCATTATCATAACATGAAATCGATCGCATAAGGCGTACGCGAAAGACAAAACAAATCATGAAAAGGAAAAAAATAATGCGCTTAAAAGTTCGTTGCTTAAAAAGTAGAGCCTAAAATAAAAAATAAATAAATAAAACGCACACACAAACAAAGTTTGGTTGCTCCGCCTTCAGTCCGTATTTCCGCCTTGTTCTCGTGTAAAACCATTGCACACTCTGCCCTAATGTGTTGAAATACCGAAATAAACTGCGGTAAAGGACATCATCGAAAACAACATCGTAGACCACATTGCTTGGTCTGCACAACCGGTTTGAAGACTTTTTGCGTGCTTCACCCTCATCAGCGAAAAAAACTCGTGCTCACCGATTGCTAATTTTGCTGTGAGAGGAATTCTTTTGCTCGAATGTAAAGCGAGATGCCGTGGTTGGTGTCCCGCTCCAACGGATTCACTTGTAGCTGCAACTCCTGCAAGCTCGCGTTAGAAAGGTTTTGCATTGTTTCAGGCACCCCGACAGCCTCCTCCACCTCTGACGCTGCATCAATGACATCCGGTTCCTCTACGCCGTAATAGTTGGCGTCTATGACGTTGCTTTCGAAGAAGTCCTTTACCGCTGTATATTCTGATCCAAACAAATTAAGCATTCCTAGAATGTACAACTGATTTGGAGTCTTTTGTTTTTCAGTAGATAGCTTATGATTGTTCCAGGACACCTTAAACTTTTCTAGATTTTCATTAATCCGTGGAATAAATACATAATGTAGAGCTGCCAGATCCAGTTCGTCGTTCGGATTCAGAAGATTGTTCCTCTCTAAGAAATAGAAGAGGAGTCGGAAATACTCCGTGACCATTTTCCGCATGTCTCTCCACAGCCTCTCTATCCTCTGGTTATGGACCGAACTACCTTGCAAAATGCTGCCGCGACCTTCTCCTCGTTTTTCAACCATAAGGCGCGCAACTTCCGCATTCTCTCCACCCTTATCTGTCCTCACCCGTGATGGCCAACAGAATTCAGTTGTGGCGCCTAAGAATAAATTGGCCACTGTTGCTGCCCTGTTATTGCTGGAACAGCGGAGGAATACAACAAGCCTCGAATATCCGTCTATTCCTCCGTGCACGACCAACCTCCATCTGAGAAAAGAGTTTTAAAACACCTTTCACACGGTACTCACATTATGAGTGGGGAAGAGTAGAATATGGTGCATTTTTCCTCTACTGAATTCCATAGATACATTAAAGGAAGTAACAGGTATTAATTCCCGAATACAGACGAATTACAGCATGTTAAAAAATGCTGTTGATGAGGAACGTAAATGTCTTCCGCTCTGATCATTTTTAATTATCCTCAAGCATTATTGTAGAACAGTGCAGGCGATCTAAAACAATGTATTTATGGTATGTTTTAGGTCTGTTACTTACCGTATCAGCTTGTGATTGCCATCCAAGTGCCACAGGCTGTTTGGGCCTACAATATATATTTCAAACACTAATAAGTCAACGATCCTGGGTTTGATCATTTGTTCTTTTATGATGAAAGTAATTGGCTCTATTCGAGAACGAATATCCAAAGTCATACTCAAGATATGGTAATGTTGGACGGACATGAGCTCCTTTTCTGTTAAGGTCGACGTGTAAAAAATGGACATCAAAACCTGCACAATTCTCTTAGCGACACATACTTCATGCGTTGCAATATGGAAATAAGCAGCACACTTGATCACATCTATTCAAATCTATGATTTGCGGTTCAAAGTTTTATAACTCAGAACGTAAAATTACCTGGAACGCTATAAGTAACTCTTGGGGTCAAATTTCTCCACCGCAGGCCTGCACCTATAGGATCATGGCGAACTAATGCCTCTGCGATGGCAGATCTTCTAGCGTAGAGGGATCGAGCCGCTAATTCACCCTCGATCATAATGATGCCCGCATTCACACTTCTGGACCTTATTTCAGCCACTATATCCATCAGCTCTTGCATACCTAGCTTCCTTCTTCCATAATGCTTTCTTCTTTCCATTTCATGATAGATGCGACGTCTCCATATTGTTGAAATCGAGACCCCTGCGAAAAGTATTACAGGTAAAATCGTATGAGACACCCTTAATAACACGATAACGGCGAATATGAAACATAGATCAACCTGTGGCCAATATAAAGCAGCCGTATCGATGTCCAAAAACTTTTTAAAATATGAATTAAAATAAAAGAGAACACATCCATTCTCGAAAAAAGGGGCATGACAAAAAAAAAAAAGAAAAAATACGAATGACTCCGCGTGAGCATTTTCTTTATTATGAAATTATTTTCGGCTCACCTAGTGCTTTCGCTATTTCTACCCATGACAAACCATAGGAGCGCATCACTTCCAACTGCTCCTTCGTAATTACGTAGGATGGTCTACCAACCCATTCCGTTGAGGTCACAGGTGCCCGGTAACACAACTGCTCCCTTAGAAAAGGAACAAGGCAGCTGTACTGCTCGATAACTTTACCAATCCTTATTTCTATGGTCGACAGACTTTGAACTAATGGGGCCAAAATGTCCTCAGCACAGGGTTTCGTGGTTATAAGATGCCATTGGATTTTTCTTAAATTCATTACAGCGGCTTCCAACTTAGTCCAAAGGCCGGTTAGTCTTTCTGGAGTTGAAGTACTGTCCTCAATGGCAGATCGGGCTGTAAAATAAAGCGCTTGAACGTCCAGCACAAAGTGTTCTATCGCGTCCGGATTGAGACTAACAACTGTAGAAGAAGTATGTCATTAAATAAGACAACATTGACCGAGGGTCTCAATGGGGTAACCGTTAGCCGTAAAACGGCCACAAAATTTTGCCTTTAGGCGTAAAAATTGACGAATTTTAACCGTTAATCGTATAAAAAAAAAAGTTGACCGTACACAAAAAAAATCCTGGGACAGCAATGGAGAGAGATTAACCATTAGCCGTATATGGGAAAAAATTTTAACCGTTAGCCAAAAAATCCAACACCCTTTTGAGATCTTCTTGACCGTTTTGGTAGTCCGGGACCTAGAAGGGGGAACGAGATATATTCTTATTCTAAAACACGAAATTTGCGCAGCAAACGATCATTGACATAGCTGAAAGAGCAGTACTTAATAAGGAACACTGCTTTATCAGTTTAAATCGCATCTACAGTCCAGTGATAGCCTTTTTTGGAAAAACTGACACGTAATTTCATTTTGAAAGGACTTGCGAATAAGAAAGCACTGATAAATCATCAGCGATAACGAAGAACCTGATTTTCCGGCTTAAGGTTAACACTAGCATCTTCATTCGCCCGAAGCTAACAACTGCGGCTAATTCATAGGCAGCCAACCCGGTTTTAAGCTTGTGCGCATCTGCTCGTCTACGATTAATGAAGATGACCTTGCGCCTCTTTTTCTCCCTTCAAAAAGAAGCTTGGGTTGCATGAAGTTGGCGGGCCGCTCAATACATTTTGTCCTTTGTTTTCTCGATCAAAATAATTTGCGCCCCTGTAGATCGCAGAAGAAGCAGTGGAATACGAATACTTTTCACATAATGACCACAATGGCGTTTGAGTAAGTGTTCTTGGAAAGTCAAGCATGCAATGTAAATTACCTACCTGATGCGGGTTGAAGGATGCCAATTACAAGACACCAGGAAAGAAATCTATACCAGGAAAACTTGTTTACATGCATCGTAGCGTTGAAAGAGAGGTTTTCCTTCCACGAGACGGGCAGTTATAGTTCCCTTTAATTTTTCGACAATTTATCGCCAATTGTACTTCGAGTTTTCTATAATCTTAACAGCAAACAGGGACCTTGTGAATGATTTATAGCACACGTCCCGCGGTGAAATTAAATTAAAACAAAAGGCTTTTCTCTGTTGTGCCTCACCTCTTTGTAAGAAATTAACTGCAAGGGACATAACGATTTCCTGGAGTTACAAACTCGTAACTCTGACTTGGAGTACGGAAGCAAATTATATTCATAAAATCCATTCATCGAATCTGAAATGACTGACGTGTAATTTTATAAAATCTCAAGAATGTTAACCAGCTCGTGCAAAGCCTTGGATCCTAAATTCACCTTATTATGAAAAAAGAAAAATTAGAAATGTGACACCTCCAGTAATCATCATTTCGGATATGACGTTGATGTTACATTTGATACCAGCATAGGGGCGTTACTTTAAGTGACACTACTTTTCAGATGAACAAGGGAAGTTCTTTTCGCTCCCTACAACAGCTTCTTTCATCTGTGCAAACAAATCTTGAAATGTCTGGTGATCACAGCGTAGGAGCCATCGGGCCAATTTTTGACCCCAATACACAAGTTGGTTCACAGGACTCACAAATTGCAGGCGGGCTACCGGGCGCGAAGCCCTACCGAACATTCGTTTGGGTGGACGACATTGCGCAAGTAAGTCAAAACCCAACTCTTGCCCCAGATGGCAAAAAGGTCAAGTTCGACCAGAGGCTTTGCGGAGACGCTATGGTGGCGCACCTAAAACGGGAAATTCCCGAAATCACGGCGACCAGGTGAGTAAGACAGTTTTCCACAAATATGGTCTACATTCTTTCAGCACCGCACCAGCTTAGAACTTAAAATGGCGAGCGTGAAAATGGTGACTGAATTCTAGTTTCAGCCACTTTTCTACGCAAAATATTTTTTATTCACTGAATCAGCTGGTTGTTCTGGACTAATGTTCCTGGAGCAGCGCTAATCGCGCGTTTTTATGTTGTGAATTCCACAGGGATTCCACCGCAAATCGATGAGAGGGTTGCGCTAGTAAGATAAAGTCTATTTTAAACTCATTTATTTCATTTGACAAAACTTAAAACCCTTATTCTACGATAACTTCATTTGACAAGACTTAAAACCCCTATTTTAAGATAACCTGATGGCTAACTTAAAACACTACGAACAAAACAGTCATTAATCAAACACGCCGGCAAAAAATTCAACAATTTCCGGACAATCATCCTAACATAACCACACAAAATTGTAACAGTATTATCAAAATCTCAGTTGATGAATTTTATACTCTCCTAAGACGCAGCACCAAAATTTCTTTAGAATCCTATCCCTTTTATTCACAACCACACAAAGTTGAGGATTAAATCGAGATTTCTTAAGTCGAGAGATCAATGTGAAGTAGGCTTAATTTTTGTGACTGGCAGTGTCAAGAGGGCAAAATAACGTGTAAATAGCTGACCCGAAGGGTCATTCAAGTGCAGTCCAATTTAGACCGCGGTTTTTGATGATCAATGGACTACAAAATTTCGTCTTCTGTGTTTCTTTTTTTAATTAATTTGATCTTCCATTCAGTGCTGAATATAAGCCCTTGTAACAGTTTTTCAAAAACTTGAGGTTTAGGTGATATTTGATCCCATAGAACACCAGCTCCAAGTGTCAATACCAACCAACTAATTAGACAGCCTCCTTCTATGCATGATTACGCATCAAACTCTCTCTCGTTGCATACTAGGCTTTTTTTAAGAATAGTACAATTTTTAATCAGAAAATCCAATAATACAATAACTACAAAAACAATGCCCTATTAATCTAATAATATTAACTAGATAAGGCATCAATACATTTACTTAGAAAACTTAAAATACTACAATTAATAAAATAAAATCTACAAATAGCTTCTATTAATGTTTAAAATGCGTGATAAATACTATTTAAAAACTTAACTAGTTGGGTCTCTACGGTCTTCAGGGTTTGATTGTAAGTTCCCTGGTTTGATTTCTTTTACATATTGTTAATAAGTCATCTTGGTACCTGTGCTTTTTATCCGTAGATACCTTGATTATTACAAAGCAAAGCCAAGTGGAAATCATCAACTGTATAAAGTTGGCAGCAATTTGTCTGCAGATTTAATCCGCAAACAATATAAACAGGCCAGCACTAGGGTGTTCCTGTCTGCCACTGTCGCAGGGGGGAGCCAAACAGTTAACTCTCCACCTGACTTGGGACAAAGGGAAATCACCACCACAAATCAAGGTAAATACAGAATCACAAGTGATTGCCATAGTAAAAGGAATGAGAAATGTATCTTCTTGATGGCACTTGAATGCTTGATGTCCTTATTTCCATAATCCTGATTCACATCTGGCAAAAATTTCAGCCATAGCTGTAAGTCAAGATAACAAAGAGCCAGTTATTGACCAAACTTCAATATTACAGTGTTTGTAGAAGGATTAGACACATTTATCCAATTGTACTCAGTAGGGTAAATAAAGCACTTGCACTGATTGGATGAGTTGTTTGTAGCCATGTCTGCTGAGTCAGTAATTGCTGAATGCTGCATACTTAGTTTCAAATTGAATTAATTAGTTATCTGTCTCATGTCCAGGTGTACAAGCTCCTTCAACTTCCACACAGAGTCAGCTGGAGAAAGGTACCATTCTCTTAACCTTTGATTAAGTTCGTAATTATGTAACTTCTCATAACCTTCTATGTTGATATTGGATATGATTGTAAGGTTCTGGCTTTCATATTCCATTTAGGGACAATTGAATTAAAATCAGCAAGATCATGAAAAAACATTTGTACATGACTTTATAGTTTCCAGATACTGGATTTGAACTCAAACTGACCACCAGTCTTACATCCAATCAGCAGCAACATTACTCCCTTAGTTAAACCACTGAATCTCACAATAATCTTGTCAGGTGAACTTGGGCCCCAATATCATGGTGACCAGCGTCCAGGTACTTCATGTATATTGTTTGAAATTCGAATCAACAAAAGATAATTTAAGCCAATGCTTGGTCTGCTTTCTCATGTTTTAATTTCCTTTCTTCTCTCTTTCATTTGATACTCAATTAATTTGTGTTTTCCCCTTCATTTTGCAGTGGGTTCAGTGACTTTCAAGCTCTCGGACTCTGGACTTAAATACTCAGGTACCACGAAATCAATACATAAAGGGAGGTTTTAGCGTATAAGATACTTTCAGGATACATTTGTAGCCTATTGTTGGTAGTTGTAGCAAGAAAGAAATTTTTTGTTCAACTTTCCCATGACACAACTGTTACCATCTCCATTGTATATATAGCTTATGGCTGCATTTGACTTCATACATATGTCCATTCTAAGAACATCACCCATTGTGAACCATTCGATAGTTTCTCTTAAAATCCCTTCAGTTCCAACTTCAATAGTGCCCCTATTTACTGTGAGCATAGAATGGAAAACTGACCTTTACACTCTTACATTGTCAGTCATATTCTGTACCCTGTCTTCTTTGCATCCCCTTGGATCCCATTTCTTATAGTACAGACAAGGAGAATTTTTTTGACAATCAGGAGCCTCTTAAATTGGAGTTAATTTCCACCATTGTCTTGACTTTTACATTTGATCCAAGGGTGATACTTTAAGCAGAAAGGAGAAGCCAGTCGCAATTTGGGGGTTTTAAGGGTTCACTGATGGAAACAGTGAATGATAACCGAAATTTAGCATTTTCGTAGACCGTGCTTGAGATAGTGCTGTCAAATTACGCATTTACTGAGCAACAGCAAATGCATAATATTTAGTTTGACGTTCATTGAGCCGTAGAAGGCTAGATTTGTGAAAAATTCGACAATTTTTTTGTTTAAAACTAATGTACAAGCACACAATATTCGTACATTTTATGTGTTTCGGCTTTCAATTATCAGCTTATGTAACCGCGTATGTCAGGTACACAAAGTTCAAGAGTTTGCTACACAAAGGTATAACATAACTAGTGGCTAGATTCTATGTGCATACTACGAGTAGAGATTTCATAACCCTACCTCAACAGTCATAACCTCCAAATCAGTGCTTGCTTCAATACTTGCGAAGAAGTGGTGCTTATCGTTTTTGTAAACTAAGTGAACAACTACCCCTAGCCAACTGTGTACCGTGGGAGGTCTGGGACGGAGTCAACCCTGGATAATCCGACTCGTGATTGAGGAATTAATCAAACTCGATCAAACACTCGATTAGTGATGTAGGTTATTATAGGCCTCGATTCTCGATAAGTCTTGTTAGGCTCGGCGATAAGTCGAAATCCATTTAAATAGTAAATACAGACATGGGAAATAATATCAGACACGGAAAATAATATCAGATACGGGAAATAGCAGACAACGAGGAAGTCTGAAAGAGGCCAACAATAACAGACCCTGTTAATTGATTTCCGACACGAAAATTAATTTTTCGATAGGGAAAATACCCAGACTGATTTTTGAATGGTATGTTACGCCATACATTCGATGTTTTGGCGCTGTGAATAATACTCGAAGCTTGATTTAGATAGTTGTAGGCACTTGACGTGTGACCAACCAGTATAACGAACAGACAATATGGCGTCTTGGTTATTTCGTACAGTTCTTGTACATTCACCACAGATATTTTGGTTTGCTCCTCGTCCTCTCCTATCCTGGGTTTGGAGATACATATACTGTAAGGAGGTTGGTTGGTTTCCACGGTAATATGGTAATGCGCAACTGAAATTCTTATATTAATAATTGCGCAGTATAAGTCTATAAATTAAATTAAATTAAATTAACATATATCAGTTGATTTTTCAGTTTCATATTTTAGAGCAGAAAGTCTCCTTGCTGCTTCTTTCATCACATCTTCAAATATTTTCCTTTACAGCCTTTCCAGTTTGAATAAGATGCTGATTGCAGGGTTTTTAATAACTGGGGGAAGGAAATTCTTCACAGCGAAAAAACTAAAGTGTCCCGATAGTCCAAACTGAAATTGTGCCAGCGGTAACCTTCGTTTTATTTTGTGAATCCCCACCCCCCCCCCCCCCATCTTTATGAAAGGGGGTCTCTATTGTACACTATGACTATTTTAGAAACAAAGATTCTGCCAAACCTTCTCCTTCAGTGATTCTCTGAGCAATGAAAGCATTAAGCGTACACTACAGATTGCAACGGTGGAAATTTATTTATTATTAACTTCGCCATACAACAACAATCAAAATAAATAGATTAAAAAAATGACAAAAACGACAAAAAATGGTGGGGACACTGTAACAGCGTAGCCAATTACAGTGGGCTCAGAATATAAATGAACATAAGACGAGAAGAGAGGAGGAAAGAAGCTATCAATATATATGAAGCAAGTAATCTGCTGATAATTCCGCCGGTCTTCGCCCGTAAGAAAAACCTTCTGTTATCTTTCTCTTAAGTGATCTAAACCTCCTTTTTTCTTCCCTTTTCTTCTCTTTGCACACGTTAAAGCAAACTCATTCTCGAAACCCCTACTGAGAGCCACTTTTTAATATATTCCATGCAACTGGTAAACTGATGACCTTTGACTAATTAATTCTAAGCCAGTTGTGGGTGGAATAATTCGATCGCGATCTGTGCAAGCGACAAAATTCCAACACAAGTCTTTTAATCCGATTGTTTGGAAGCGTTAAAGAAAGTTCCGGCCGTTTTGAGTCCATTCTGATCTCGACACGCTCAACTGATGGATGAATTTTCCAAGTGAAGGGAGTGATAGTAGCCGGCCTCTTGCCTCAGATCTTATTGTGGAATTGGAAAAAGCGATATCGCCCTAAGGTACGAATGTTTCCCTTTGAGTTACCGAACGTCCATGCGTCCATACACGGCCTACGAAATTATCAGTAATGGCTTTCACTTACCTTGATCACCTTTGTTACAATGTTTTGAAAGTGTGCTGCGCTTACAGTTTGAATTTAAATTCACTTGTTATTACAAATTGTTTAATTTAGTGGTTGAGTTTGTAGAATTTTAGCAGTCTTTCTGTTGGTTAAATTATACCGTAGAACAGTAAAACAATCGTCAAACGTTTTGATGCACCGCTAGTCTAGGTGGGCGACAGTTAATCAATGCAAAACGTGCGTTAAAACATGTTCCACTCTCCTCTTGATTAACAACTGAACCTACGTGTAATGCGCCACTTAATTATAGACGTTGAGTTTCTTGGACCTTTATTTGATCATGGGCGTTATTTCCCGAGTCTTTTTTTCGCAAAAGGGTCAATTTGTTTCCCAAGAAAGCATTATGTGCTTGTATTCTATAAATACTTCACACGCCACTTCTATATCTCCTATTTGCATGGCGCGCACATAACGCAGATGAATCAATCATTTTTCGGTCGCTCTCCGCACAAATAGTTGTATTTTGAGTCAAAAAGCCGAAAGTAGAGTTTCTAAAACTCACGTCATGTATGATCTAGATCTGGTTATATGTTTTTTATGAAACGGTTTGGTGTGTACTATCGCTAATTGTTTTTTTCTCAGAGGGCACGGTAACGAATCCTGCGATCTTATTGGTTCTTAGCGCGGTCCGTACTTTCCTACATATCTGACATCTCTGCCCACGGGCAACGGTAACGCTTTCGTGAGTCTCCGAGTACATCCCAACTTTTCTCATAATATAACGAAAGTGAAAATACTCAGCGGTATGTGTAATAAGATGAGCCCGTAGGGCGAGTCAAAATACTAACAACGAGGAAAAATAATCAGCGATACGTCTAATAACTTATTTATTATCCAACTGCTTTTTTCTGCTGAGTCTTCAGTTCTGCTCATTTCTGATAAGGCGGGAGAGGCAAAGTGGATAGAGAAGCGTAGCGCGCGCAGCCGACTGGTTAACAGGTTTTTTTTTACAGTACAAAATAACCGTACAATATCGCAGGAAATTTGTGCATTATTTGTACTCTACTTAGTACAGTCGGATAATAAGATGTTTTATTGTCAACATTCACTGTTTGCGAGCAAAGTTCTTAATGTATGGTTCTGATACTGCGATCGGTTCTTTCTCCCAAAGCTATTCCGATGATTCACTGTGGAAGTCGATTCATAGGGATAATTCTGAAGAATAATTAATTGTATTTGAAAATGCAAGATTCACTTTTATTCACAACTTAAAAGGATTTCTGACGAAAGCTCTATCGGTAGTACTGAAAAGATAAAGAATTCCCTTGGCTTGTTATTTATCTCCATATACACCCAATTGCAGAAACATTGTCGTTGGAAAAGCATTTATACAATTTTCCTCCACCCCATACCTTTTCATATTACCATTTTGTTTCTATAGGCTTTAGGCATCCACGGAGAAAAATACTTTAAAGAGAAAGATGTTTTTTATCTTTTCATGAGCGTGGGATAGAGAAAAAATTCTAAGTTCCCATGAGGAATCGAACCTCAGACCCCCGGTTCCGCGTTCCCACGCTTCCTGCATGCTGCTAGGATCAGCAATGTCGATAGCGTCATGTTTGAAAAAAAAAATCACCATCTTTCCTATTCTATTTATAAACTTGACGCCTTGATAACAGATTTGTTTTACTTTTATTTTCTGAATGGAGTAATCTTGCTTCCATGTTCCTGAAATTGTACCGGGATCACGCCACAAACATTTGGGTTGGCCACTGACATATTACTAGACTGTATCGCAGGCCACATTGAACATGGTAAAGAATGTGACGTATCGCAAATGTTTTAACTAGACCGTGTCTTATACACTTTAGAGAAGGAAGTGATTACGGCCGACCATACCGCTCGAGTGAGTTGTAAATAGCAGAAGAAATAGCAATCTTTTTTATCCACGGTAGTTGTATCGTTTAATTCGATCATTTTGTGTATTTGTTTCTTGAAATCTTTACGAATACACTACGGGTCATATGATGTATATCCAATCAGTTATGTCCATTGTTTCGAACGATTAAAAAACAAATGCTTTACGGAAGACTGTGTACGTGGGTTCCACTTGAGACGTGTCAACCTAACAGTGGATTCAGAAAAATTAAACTAAAATGATGGTGAAGCAAAATATTTTGTTTAAGTTACCGGTGGTATGGCAGATTTTAAAACTCATTCAACTACAGTTCGTATTATAGACCAAGGAAGCCCTATCAGAAGAGTAAACCAAAACTCTGATTTTACTTCAATTTGGAAAATATTCGTATTCTTTTCTAGTCTCGATATAAATCGAGAATCAATATCGAAACTTAAAATGACCAGCTGCTTTTCCAATTAAAGTGAAGCTTTTTCTACAATTTCCTTGGATGACTAGTATTATCAGAAGTCGATATTGAAGCGAAAATGAGCTGAGTTATCTCAACTTGCCTCAGCACAAAATTAATGTGGTCTGACTGTCTCACGTAAAAATGGTTAGCGAAGATGCTATTGACAGAAAGGTAAGATAAGCTGCAAGGAAAAAATGTATGTCAAAAAACATATTTACATTTATGGGAATTCTAATTCTAGCGAAATGCTGTTATTGTTTTTCGACTTTTTTTTTTAAAAGAAGTTCACCAACTGCGTGCCGAGGTTTGTTAGAGTTTCACTTCGAAGTTCGATGAGATTAATAGGGCAAGTGATTGACCATCGAGAGTTCTGTAATTGTCTTTTCTCAAGTCACGAATGTTCATTGCCACTAATTAAACATGAAAACCTTTTAGTAAAACTACTACTCGTTGACATTCGCCGACAAATTAGCAAGACTGGTGGTTATAAAGCAGTACAGCTTTGTACCTGCTCATAGTTGCTATTGTTTTCTAATGACGCTCCAGAGTGCAACATTGATTGGTCACAAATCGCTGAATTTTGTGTGTTTTATTCCCTTCATAAGGTGCACTTGTGGTTGCCGATTTTATCCAGCGAAAACCTTCGATCAAGTTACGAAGACGACCTGATATTTGCTACGATGCAGAGAAGTTTGTTCAGATCTTTTGGTGAGTCTGATGTGAGTCAAATGCTTTGTCCCTCATCAATGAGGAACTATTGACGCTGATCTTACCTTACGAATCCAGGCTTGTCGCCAACAGAGCGGCAGCTTTTGAAATAGCTTGGAGTTCTCGCTCCGTCTAAGTAGTTGTTTTATTGTTTTGTATTGTCTTCTTTAACGCTTATGACGCAAAGTCAATTGATGTTGTCATACAGCGCCACGAGGTTTTCGTTGCTTACATAGCATTCCCTCTTTCCTTCTAGTACATTGATGAATACAAGGTTACCTTCTTAATGCAGCTTTCCTGAATCTTACGTGCACGATCAAGAAACTGGCAGTGTAGGGACTGATATATAACTTATTCGAGGCGATGAATTCGACTGATAGTTCAGTGTTACAGAGCTACAATGCTACCAGGTAAACATCTTTTACGCACAGTGTAATCGCTGATTTCAGATAAGAATGAGTTTGCCTGATAATATCGATTTGGAGATATAAATGTTGAGACTAGGGACAAAAACACGATTAAGCTGTTTTGTCGCTTTAGAAACTTTCAAATACGATGCCACATTTTTGCCTGAAACCTCAAAGCCATTATCGGTTTTGTTTATTCTAGAATAATTATAGGAGGTTAAGTTTAACAGAATTTTACGTCGCTTTCCTCTCGAAGTAAGTGGGCGGGCTTCATTTATTTTCCGGATGCGCCGGTAAATCGTCCGACGTGTTTCCAGTGTCATTCATTTCACCTTCGCTTGGTGAAATATAAGCTTACCTAGCGACGAGTAGTAATTTCAGGAGGGATCCGGCGAAGTAGATGAAATTTCACTGTCTAGTAGTATGTACAAGGTAAGGTTTCATGACTCCGTTTCTGGGAATTAGAACTGTCCTATTTCTGAGAATTAGGACTTACTCGGACTTGGTTGTCTGACTTGTGCAAACGGTAATTACAGAATATATGAACGCCGTTTTGAGGAAATTATCGCTCGGTATTTTTCCAATATGAGTTTCAAACAGTTAAAATTATTGTACATCAAGAATTTCGAAAATATTATGATTCGTTTTAAGTTCAAACAAAAAAAAATCGGGCTTCAAAATCGTTTTAGTTCGTTTAGTTGTGGACGAGCGGTCATGGTGATAATTTGTATACAAGGACACTGGCGCCCACAATTCAATTAGACACGAACGGTAAAAAGTTACACATGAATTCGTAAATTTGCTATGATTTTTCTGTTGAAAAACATTTTGATACAAGGTATAGTGATGTTAGTCGGCGGTTGGATTAGAGAATGTGTGTGTACTCGCATTTTATCGCAGTCTTTCACCCATTTTTTATTGGCCTTGGTAAAAAAAATCAAATCGACAGAAAAGTTTAAAAAGAACTGTGCGCTCTGATCTCACTGAATGAAATTGAGTACAGATGAATTAGGTGAATTAAAGATTTAGGCTTCATTTTGCGTTTGGAATCCATTAAAATCCGGCGCTTAGGTGAATTTCTGTGTCCTTTAAAAAATATCTTTATTTTGTAACTGTGAAATAACTATTGTTTCTCTTTTAATGCATGAATTTCAGTTCAGTTACTTTTCCGTTCTGATCCCACGGAAAAAGTCATTTTTTTCTGTTTAAGTTGTGCGGAATTTGAGAATTTTTGTTTTGTTCGTATACTGACAGCTTAAGAGCAGGCTTTCGTTATTAGCTCTTTGCCTCGCCGGCTAGAGTCGCCAAGGGCCTAAAACTTTCTCGCGGGCGAAGAAACCCTCTAAAAGTTTATCTTAATGCATGTTATAAATTATTTTATTAAATAAGTTTAAGGTCTCTGATTGTTTGACTCGGTATCTTTCGGTATCTATATTTACGGTATCTTTCGCTTCTGCGTGCGATCACTGAAACAACATTGTGCCTGCGCAGAGTGCGTGACTTGCAAACATAGCCAACATCATCATTATATTCTTAGTCAACCAGCGGAAATGTAAATGCTGCCTAAAAATAGTTTTCTGCGAGACTGAATTCGCCTCAGAACGGGGAGACAAAAACACGTAGAAGCATGTGGAGGTTTTAGCCAATAGGAGTCCACGGATTCGCGTGCGGGAGTGGTATCAAATATGCACCTTTGACACGCACCTTTCATTAAACGTATCGTCTTCATGTTACCACCCCATTTGTTAAAACTGCTATACCCAGGCGCTGTACAAATTGCACATCAAAAGCCAGTCGGGTGAACACTTGTGAAAACTTTCAGCAGCAAAATTTTTACAATCTGATCCATTATGAGGTACGTACTTGTAAGAGTAAGCTTGGTTATCCCAAGAAAAACTTTAAAGTTCTTCTTATCGTAATTTTCATTAAGAGTTTTCGATGAGGCCCGGAGAAACTGTCCCCAAAGTCACCAAGGTTTTTCTCGTCCCATCATTCGTCTGTTGCGTCGGTAATTTTTATATTGAACTTTATCTTTAAATTGCTACCGAATTACAGACAGCATGCATTAGAAGCATTAGAAATAACGCAAAAAGCGTCAAACCTCTTGGAGCCCGTATCGAATAATAAATAGGGCACCCTCTCGCCTTTCTCACATTCCTTTTGCGTCGGTAATTTTTATATTGAACTTTTTCTTTAAATTGCTACCGAATTACAGACAGCATGCATTAGAAGCATTAGAAATAACGCAAAAAGCGTCAAACCTCTTGGAGCCCGTATCGAATAATAAATAGGGCACCCTCTCGCCTTCCTCACATTCCTTTTGCGTCGGTAATTTTTATATTGAACTTTTTCTTTAAATTGCTACTGAATTACAGACAGCTTGCATTTGAAGTAACGCGAAAAGCGTTATACCTATCAGAGCCTGTATAGATATATCTTTGGACGAACCCAGTAATACCATCTGTCGGAATCGAAACGACACGAGTTTCTCTATTTCTTGCAGCTCAAGAGACAATGATTTTTCTGCTGAAGAGATGGAAAATTTTGATACAAGGTATAGTGATGTTAGTCGATGGTTGGAAGATAATTGTTGTGTATCCACATTTCATTTCAATCTATCACCCATTATATATCCCTTTCATGTATAAACCTTGGTAGAATGAATAATGAAAAAATCGAATCGACAGAGAAGCATCAAAGGAACTGTCAATCAACAGTTTATGATAACAATGGATAGATTATATTACTGGAGGTACGAAGTGGGCATCGACAGTTTTTAAATAACATCGCATAAATTTCGTTTTCTTTTTAATAAGTTTTACATACTGAACGAACAACCGTGAAAATACGTCGTTCGTCCAATTAGACACGAACGGTAAAACGTTGCACATGAATTCGAAAATTTATAATGGTTTTTCGGAAGATAATTGTTGTGTATCCACATATTATCTCAATTTATCACCCATTATATATCCCTTTCATGTATAAACCTTGGTAGAATAAATAATGAAAAAATCGAATCGACAGAAAAGCATCAAAGGAACTGTCAATCAACAGTTTGTGATAACAATGGATAAATTATATTGCTGGAGGCAGGAAGTGGGCATCGACAGTTTTGAAATAATACCGCATAAATTTCGTTTTTTTTCGTTTCACGTACTGAACAAACAACTGTGAAAATACGTCGTTCATCCAATTAGACACGAAAGGTAAAACGTTACTCATGAATTCGAAAATTTGTAATGGTTTTTCGGCTGACGGGAGATGGAACATTTTGATACAAGGTATAGTGATGTTAGTCGGTGGTTGGATTAGAAAATTGTTGAATTTTTGTTTGTTCGTATACTGACAGCCAAAGCAGCAGGCCTTTGTTATTAGATTAATTGGGAACCGGCAAGAGGTGCGCCAGGGATCCAGCACCAATCACTTCTACTTGTAGACCCCTCGCCGGCTAGTGTCGTCAAGGGCCTAAACTTTCTTGCGGGCGAAAAAGTGCTCGTACAGAAGCGCTTTTCTCTTTGAACCTTTGTATTCTCATCACTGACATGATAACCTTTCAGAAACCAAAAGAAGAGATAAGTCGTACGGGATGCGGTTTCGTAAATTTTGCTTCCATAGAGTAAGTATTTAGTCATGCTTATGTTAAAGACGACAAGCTTTTTCTTAAAATTGAATTTTCTCCCTAACTGCTACATATCGTGCTACTCTCTGCACACTCGACTGCAAAACTTTCGGCCTAAAAAAAGTTGGCGATGAACGATGAGACCCAATGGCTTTATGGGCACACATTTTATATAATACCTACCTAAATTTTTTGCTCTTCTCTTCCTCGTTAACCGTCTCTTTTGACAATTCGTTCGGTTTCACTCACAACTTCAAGAGGCCTGCTAAAACAAAACATGCTTTTTTTTTCTAAGAGTTTACTTGAGTCGATACGCACTTGAGATGCAGATTTCAACGCTAATTCAAAGCATTTACTGTAACATAATTGGAATTTTTTCATCTATTTTTATAATCCAAAACAACTATCCTTTCTTAGAGAAACCTTGTTTTAGAATAGGTAAATAGAAGTAAATTAAGTGTATTGTGCTTTTAAAAAAGACATCTTTTATCATTAAATTGATTAGTAGAATATTTTTCAGCTTGCTGGTTGCAACTTGTCATCGGGGAAATATTTGGAAATCCTCTAGGTTAGAAGCTTGATGCTGTTAAATTCGATGAGGTGTCAAGACAACTAGTTGATTGTAAATTACATTGAAATTAAAATGGAGTCTTTCTTGTTTACTTGACTGATCGACTGGAAGATATTACGCCGTTAGTTACTGGCGTAGAATCTTACATATATGCATCATCGACTGCTAGTAATTACGCCACTAGTTACTGGCGTAAAATCTTACATAAACACATCGCCAACTGGAAGAATTTACGCCGTTAGTTACTGGCATAAAATCTGACATGTATACATACAACCGACTGAGGTCTCGAAAATTGAGGAAATGTCTGAGGTATTTTCAATTCCTCAAAGACACTTTGTTTAGCCAACAGCACTTAAATTTAAATTGAATCTCGATCTTCGACCACCTCCGAACACGC